CATAAAAAAAAAATGCAAAAGAAAAGAAAAAAATGCGCAAGAGAAAAGAAGAAATTCAGAGGAAAGAAAAAGAAAATGCAAAAAAGAAAGAGAAATGCAGAAGAAAAAAAGATGCAGAAGGAAAAGAAAAAAGGGAAAAAAAGGAGAGAGAATAAAAAAAATATAGAAACAAGAAGAAAAAATGAAAGGGACAGCATTAGGTGGAATAATATATATACCTAAAAACAAGTGACGAATTTCTCCATGACAGAATCCAGCAGATTCTGGTAATAAGTAATGAAGAGATCCTGTTTACCTGTCTAGTACACTATTTGTCAGTGTGCAACGAATATATGAAGCAGACAATATGGCGGAACGAGTTCAAAATATAAAAGATTCCAAATCCGAAAAGGACAAAGGCGACACCTCACTGAGCAAAATAACCTCTTAAACGATTAGAATACGAAAGTGAAAAGGTGAGTTTTCACGTACATACCAATATTCCATTACATATGACACAAATCATAAGAGGAATCAGAAGTGGAAGTCACCTTGTGATTTCACACATTTCGATATAATACAGGGATTACAATAATATATATATATATATATGCTAGTAGAATGAAGCAAGGACGTCGACCAAAACGGTGGTATCTTACCTGATGAATTATATGATGATCACTATTTAGGCAAAAGGCGGTCTACTCGGGGCACACGATATTTCTAAATGTTCCCCATGCGTGTCAAATTTCATGAATCCCGTTTAGCAAAGATATAACCAGAATGTTTTCTGTTTTTCCATCCTACTAGGAGTGCCCTCGACTCTTTCAGTAACCCATACATTAATTGTTCTCTCATTGGAACAATATATATGTCCAGAAAAGGGAATAACTCTTATTTACGTCCGTAAATGAGCGACAGGAGGTTTTGTAATTACAACTCTACGGCAGATTGATCTCATATGTAAATAGTGGAGGACCCAGACTCTGAGAATGCTGTCGTAATTATGTTTCTTTGTTTTTTTTTCGTTTCTTACTGTTAGCGTATGATTTTCTCTCTAAGGATATTTTATCAATGTGTGATTCATACTTCCCCGTCCTATGTGGGTTGTGCCCCGTTTCGTACAGAAGCGTGGGGATGGGCGTCAGCATTTTTTATAAATTCCCCCTTTCTGTGTGTCTGATAGAACGGTACGGCCCCATTTTGTCTGTGCCG